CGGGCCACCCCGTCCCCAGTGGTGGCCGACTGCTTCTTCAGCTGGAGCTTCAGCAGGGACACCTGGGAGAGGAGGAACCCACAGGAGCGCATCAGAGTCAGTGCCTGGGACCCCGGGGGACATTGGGGCTTGCTCAAGCTGAGCTCAGCAGGGCAGGGACCCCTGGATTAGGTGGGAGAGTCCATGCGCTGGAGAGGGAGGGAAATACCATTGGGTCCCTGCAAATCACACCCCCAGGGGGCCGTCTGGACAGGTACGGGGGGATCCGTCTGTGGGCCAGGGCTAGAGGGTCCCCGGGGCCCCCCGGAGACATACGCCCTTCAGGAAGCAGCTGAAGGGTGTAGTCGGCACTGGGGATAAGATCTGCCAGGCTGGGAGAAGCCAGCAGGGGCTCAGAGCTCCCCGCCCCGTGCCCTGGGTGTTCAGAGGGGGCACAGAACAGAAAAGCAGGGGTGTCTGGGAGCTTCTGGCCATGGGGTGACAGGTTTGGATCCAGACCAGCATGGGACTTGCCCAGGACCATGGTGGTAGAATGTGGCTGGGGGCCCCTCCAGAGCAGGGGGGTTCACGCAGCCGCTGGTGCGGAGACGGGGAGGGGCGGGGACTGACCACGTCGCTCGGGAGGTTCTCCAGGTCCTGGAAGGGCGACTCCAACGTGTTGGTGTCGATGTTGAGGATCACCACGTCCTCCAGGGCCTTGCTCCGCACCCTCTGCGGGGAGAGGACACCCCAGAGGGGAAGGGGCTGAGAGGGAGCCGGGGGGGTTCACGCAGCCGCTGGTGCGGAGACGGGGAGGGGCGGGGACTGACCACGTCGCTCGGGAGGTTCTCCAGGTCCTGGAAGGGCGACTCCAACGTGTTGGTGTCGATGTTGAGGATCACCACGTCCTCCAGGGCCTTGCTCCGCACCCTCTGCGGGGAGAGGACACCCCAGAGGGGAAGGGGCTGAGAGGGAGCCGGCCTCAGGGCGCTGCATCCCCCTACCAGTCAGCCGGGCTCCCTGTGT